AAAGATCATAAGTAATATTTTACTTTAATATTAAAAAATAATCTAATTGAAATAAAACTTTAAATATATATATAAAATATTAAAGTTTTATTAATGTTTAATTAATAAATTTTTTCAAAAATATTAATTTTAAGCCAAAAAAATTTTTTTTCATAAAATGTATTATAAATTTTATATATAGTATAAATTAATATATAAAATATAAATGGAAATTAAATTTTTATTATAGAAAAAATATTTAAAAAAATTAAATATAAAAATTAACAAAACTTTTAAGCTTAAAAAAAAATCATAAAAAACTTATTATTATATTTAATAAATATTATTAAAATTAATTTATTTTTTTATTATATAAAATTATTTTAAAAAATATTTAATCTCTATATTTAATATAAAATTTTGTTTTTTTAGTAAAATTTGATTAAATTTTAAGTTAAGTTAATTATTAAATAATTTTTTATACTTAATAAAATAATGATAATAATTGTATAACTTTCATTTAACAAATATATGCATTAAAATAATTTTAATAATTTTTATTATTTCTATTTATAATGTAATTAAAATCAATTATTTTTTTAAAAAATTTTTAATAATATATTGTAAAAACTTTATTAGGTAAACTTGTTTTTTATATTCTTAAATACAGTATATTAATATAGATTTTTATCTTATTTTATCAACTAGTTATTAAATATTATAAAAAACAAAAATATATGTGTAGTACAAATATTTTTGTACCATACTGTATTTCTTGAATTTTAAACAAATATGTTTGAAATTTTATACTAAAGTATTTGAATAAAGATTTGTAAGTTTGATATTAATTTCATATTTTTGTTTATTTAAAAGCATAACTATTTTGCATTATTAATTCTAATTAAGTTTTTTTTTTATAATAATTGTTTAAAAAAAACATATATAATAAATTAGAAAAATCAATTGCTATTATAAAACCAATTATTGTGAGGGATTATTCAAACCTTCTCTATTACTAAGGTTTCTAAGGTTGAGACACAATAATTTGATCCAAGTTTTTTTCTTAAACATTACAAAACAAACTCACAATTCATTAATACACAGTCATTTTGAAACTACTCAAACCCTTTCTTAGTTGCTATTATAAAAGCTTTCTTTTCTTTATATACATATTAATCTCATAGTAAAATTATTATAATTATTCTAATTATTTACTATACCTACTATTTAAACTATAATCAAGAAAAGAAATAAAAGAAATAAAAAATAACTTAGATTTGACATGAAATCAATCCATGTGACGATGCAAATCTTCTCTCACATTATCAATTTTCGTTACTATCATATTACTGTAAATTTCAATGCATCATTTATAATTAACAATATCAATATACAGTATGCAGTATAATTCTAAACCAACATTTTAGAGTTATTATTTTAGGACCGAAAATATTTTCAAAAATAATATTCATATATAGCAATAATGAATATGCGATATACAATATACAGTATATACAGTCTGTGCATATACTGTATATTTCATATCATATTAAAATATCAAAGAAATAGAAAATCCTAGATTTTTAAAGATTACTAGGAACACGATGCAATTATTTGATGCTTGTAACAAACGCTTTACTTAAAATAAAATAATTGATTAAAAAAATTTTTTTTGTCATATGTTTGCGAGATTGAAAAGGGGAAAGCTCATTTTATTATCGAAATCTATGCCAAAACTGGTAAGAAACAAGTATGCGGTAGAAGAGAAAAATAGTTATCGGTCAGAAAGGCTTGTTTTTTTTTTTATATACTGAAAGTAAAAAAATATATCAAGTGTCATGTAAAGCACAAGACAATCGTATATGTGTGACTGTGAATTGAGAAATTTTTGCAATTCGTAGAAGGTAGTTGGATTATATTAACGGTGGAAAGAAATATTTTGAGAGATAGACTGTTTTGAGGACAAAAGCCATTTTAACATTATGGAAATTGCATGAAAACATGGAATCACTAGTAAAACATGAAAATATCTATGAAAGGACACTGGAGACATGCTATCGGTTAAAGCATTAGGCATTGTGTCAGTAAAACTACTCGCATTGCATTGACGTTTATAATTGAAAGAAAATGTGCTTTCGAGCAATTGAATGAACCTGCAGAATTACAAGTGAATGGTTTCGAACTTGAGAATGGCATGTTTGGGTTAGACCAATCACCTAAAGATGGAACAATTAACAATCTCAAGTACCGTGAAAAAGTCACGGGAGTTTGATTATCGTGAGATAGTGTAACCCCGGGTTAGGATAAAAATTTAAGGGACAGCGAAAAATTAGAATTGACTACAGTGTGCTTCCTTTCTGTTGTGGACCGAAACATCTCGATAGGGCCCTTGTTAAGACGAGCTGTGTACGTCCCACGCCGTCGGGAGTATAAGTAATGCGATGGCCATATAAACAGAGGTATGTGAATGGATGCGTACAACCCACAACCCGCGCGCCCCAAGTAGTGTAGGGTTACAAAGTCAGACATTCTCATGATTACTTAATAAATAAATAAATAAGTAAATGAATGGAATATATTGTTATTTGAATTTTAAAAGATGGACTCGAGCGAGAGTAGATTGTCATCACATGAAAATTCCGGAAAATCGATCATCATGGCCTTCCCGAGTTAATGGGAATGGTAGACCGTCCAATAATAATATTTTCCGAATCCGCAAATCCTGTCCTTGACTTTCTTTGTCCCAAACAAAAGTTTCAATCGACTAACGAAATCATCGATTCATTTATAAATCTGATCGGAAAAAAAATTCGATTGATGTATGTTGAATGAGAACGCCTTGCATATACAGTATAGGTAGGCACAATGTATGCAACATATACGGCATACAAACGTTCATGTAATTTTGACATGGCATCACCGTCTCTTTAAATACACCTCGTATTTAACATTATGTAGGAGAATCAACTTACCAAAAAGGTCCGTGCCCTTAGATCAATTACATAGCGAGCGAGGTCCCTTGGATTTTACGAGAAAATTCCCAGGGCACACGGGATCCTAACACAAAGTGACTTCTGGTATCACTATAACCATTATGGAATCAACCAAATAAGGTAAAAAATTTTTCCATGGGTTCACGAGGTTTGTTATTATAAGTTAATTTCTTGGCTTTTTTTATTTTGTTTACGATTAATTGTTAAAGTGTTCAACTCTAACAAACAAACAATAATTCATTACCACACTCTCTTCAATCTTCTAAAACCTTGTATTGACGTCGCGAAGGAAGGAGAGAGTTTCTCAATGACACTCTATTGAAAACTTAAGGTGACACTTTCAAACATTCAAGTATTTTGGTTCTTAAAATGCATGGCATATGGATTTCTATGACGTAATCAAAGATCTGCTGCGTTAAATTAACATTAAAAAAAAAACACAAGTACATTTATTTACGAAGCAAATTTAAAAGCAACTTTACTCATAACCTCATTTTTAAAATTATTTGCCTAAAACAATAACAATTTAAATAAATAACCTTTTTCCGTTAAGGCTCATAGTAATGGTTTTGAAAAAATATCTTAAAAAACCTGAACATTTTGTTTTTAATTTTTGGTTTATTTATTTTCACTTATCTATTTACTCTCATTTACCCATTTACTATCATTTATTTAATACTCCCAAGTCTGAACATTTTGATCCGGAAAGTCCAAATTCATCAAAAGTAGTCATTCGAATTCCGGGATAATTTGTGTTAGCAAAACGCCTCTGCTGTATATTATGGTTACAAGTTGTGAATTTTGATAGGGATTAAACAAAACTGTAAGATGCGTTTGGAAATATATAAATATAATTAAAATTGACCTTTGATATTCAAGTATTTAATGTGACAACAGCAATTATCACCCGATATTTTCGAATGTTAACGGGCCCAAAATTATTTGGGGGAAAAAAAAAAGAAACCCTTATTCGAATCAAACTGTGGCGTTTATTTGAACAACTTCATCTAAACTTTTAAGTATTTTAAAGTGTACTACTACACATTAATAAAATCTGCTTGAGACAATACAGTATATGGTAACTTGCCGTTTTCAGAGTGGTTTCCTATTATGGATTTTAACCAATCCGAATTTTCTGTGGCTCAAATACAACCAAATAAGCATGTAAAAAAACATCTGTCCTCCAATTATAGTATGAACACGCTCCGTGAACACAGCACTTTCTCCCGCGCTGCGTAAATCCCTTTAATTACGCGGTCAGAATTGATATTCTTCAACCCTCGAGAGAAATGAGTTCATGAGGTCAGTAACATTCGATTATTCCAAATGTTTATTATAACTTGAAACATTATCTGCAATTAATTATTATTATTCAGGTGATAGTTTCGCGTGCCAACAATTTGTGGACGAGAAAAAAAAAACAATTACTAAAATGGGTGGATAAAAATCTTTAACCAAACATATGGTAAACCCTACACAAGCATCACAACATAATACATTATCGTAATATTATAAGGAAAGATGAGTTTAACAAGATTGCCGCACATGTGTGCAAACACCCAAAAACATTCGACTAAAAAAAATAATTTCCAAATGTGACCTTGAAAAATACATGGGCCCTTCCCGTGAAATTACAGAAGACATTTAAAACATCTTCCCACAAAGTCACGATTGCCCTTAATATTAGAATGTGATTGGTTCTTTTTCTTTTTGGAGATTGATTAATAATTCATTTAAAACAAGCACACATGCACAAAAAAAAATAGAGCTTTTATTTACCTAAATCACAAATTTTCATGAGACAATGTACAATAGTTCATTTTGTGCACGTCTTGAAAGAATTGTCAGGTATTTTTTCACATAGTCAATGAATTATAATTCGTCATGAGTTTTTCCTCGCGTGCATTTGTGAGACGTTTGGCGGTCAGATTCACACAACTTTAATTTAAATTTGTTTTATAATCACCAACACCTGATACAAATCAAACCATTAGAGGCAATTCCCTTGAACATAATTTACACGGGTTGCTATTGCCATAATTGATTCCAGCCGGATTTTGCATTTTTATTAGTATTACAATAGTCCGAATGCGACCTTTCACCTATGAGTGAATTTATGGTCGTTTCACGCACATGCGAAACTTCCAAGATCGAAAAGGGTAAGTCATGTAAGGAATCATCGATGTCTTCGCATTGACCATTCTCAGGTTCTTCATTTGTTACGCGAAAAATGATTCTTCCTTGAATCTTCTCAATTCGAATGTGGTTAAAACTTGCCGAAATGTGTCTGGTATTTTTGTCAGGGAACGCATGTGTGAGCTAATTGGACGTTATCATAAATTGAAATAAAATTAATTTTGCTGAAATTTGCGTAACTCAATGATGCAAGCCTCATTATCCCAATCAGAGTTTCCCCTGCGTTGTGATCAATAATTATACGTTTTGTTTGACTCTATCGTTTGTACAATTATAAGACACATGCTCGTTCATGCTCATATCACCTCGGTTGTTTCACGTTGTTTTGTGAATCAAATACAATGGTCATCGTCCCGATTATGTATGCACTTATCATGGTGTGAACAATAAATCCATTCTCGCACAGCACAATATGAAGTGAATGATTGTTGCAAAAAAGAAACATAAAAAACAACGTGTTTGGCACACAATATGTAAAGGTGCATATCTCATCATCTGAATCGAATTTTCATAAATTCAAATCGATCTCGATCCACGAGACATAGGGTGCAGTGTATCCACGGTTTTACATCGAGTCCATACAGTGTATCCACAGGTTTCCATCGGAGTCCATACAGTGTATCCACAGGTTTCCATCGAGTCCATACGACTACTCACAACAGATTCTTGTTGGAAACAAGTCATATGTGTGACATCCTGTTTAAATGATGCCGTGTTCAAAATTTCGAGAAATTGATAATATATGTCGCGTAGTAGTGCAGTGCAAGTATACGTGACAAATGTGAATTAAGGTCAAATGTCAGCGAAAATAGGTTTCATGAATTTTAAGTTTATTGAAAGTTACTCGATCGCAATACTGTACAGTAATAAGCTTCTAGACCCTGCATTGAATAGCATGTAACCAATTGGTGGGTCTGTGCTACAAGGAATGTGACCATAATCAATATGTACGTATACGGTTAAACTTTATTTGCCACTTCTGATAATTTCTGTGACACACTGAACCAACCCCATACAACTTGCGATCGAAAATTCTTTATAGATTCCGGTGCACACAAATTGAAGAACGAGGAATGGGAGAATGGAAAATGTACCCTACAATGAAATATTTGTTGGTCGGTGAATGTAATTAAAGTAAATTTTGATCGTAAGCTACTTAATACTGTATCGTGTGTATTCCGCGTTATTACGTAATACCGAAACTCCATCGGAATATAAGAACAAATGCTGTATCACTTGTGATGTAAATTGTGAAAGGTGAGGCGTTGATTCACGGACATAAATTATAATTCCGGTATGAATGTACTATATTCACGAAATTCTGTGTTACAAATGGTTTGGAAAAAAAAGAAATATGCGAAAATTATTAAAGGTTGGTATTTGTGGAACAAAACAACATTGTCTTAAATACAGTAATATCCAATGTTTTAAAAAACAAAAACAAAAACAAAGAATTAGTAATATGCGTTGCATTCAAATTTATCATTTGTAATATATTTATTTATTATTAATATTACACCATACACATGTTATCGTAACGTCGTCGTTAACTAATTTTTGTTAAATTGATAGGTAGAAAGTAAACTGCTCACACAGTTTACAGTATTCAGAGATATTAAGAGATATAAAACCAAATCTTATTTATAAAAAAAAAAAGATACGATTATTTATAACAACGATACATTATGTATCCTATTTACAGTATATTTATTTGTTTGGTAGTTACACAAGAAATCGTATTTTTTTTTTTAACTCATATGAAAACAAATAATGAATTATGAATTGTTGAAATTAAAACCTGTGACAATAACCTTTTGGATTTTAATATACAATAAATTTATTATTGAAAAATTTCAGTACTTAAATATAAAAAGCGATTTTGATAAACGCGTTAAATTACAAAGTTGATGAATTATATCATACTGTATACAGTAGTCGGATTTTAATAACATGAATTTATTTTGGAATAATTTTAAATGCCCCAAATGTGAATTTCTCAAATTTATTATTTATTATTTTTTTAAAAAAAAAAACGACAATAATAGTACTGGTATCCCGATTTAAATATCCTGATTTAAATATCCTTATTTTAATATTATAAATAATTTGGGTATGAAATATATACATTATTTAAAATATTACAAACAAATATAAGATTAACTGGTTTTTATAAAATAAAAATTCTAATGCATCATCCATCATCTTATTCCAAGAGTAATGGCATTTTGGACAAATCGTATCCACGCACTAAAATGCTATGTATGTTTAAAAGGGCGACATATGTAAGCGGAAAATTTTATTTTAATGCAAGTGCATTCTCTAACGTCTTTGAACAGAAAACATTCGCGTAACGGCAATCGGCTGACATAACTTGCTTATTTAATGAGTGTAAGCAAAATCCGTCTTTTCATTGCACATAGATAGAAAAGGAAGATGCATTATTATAACCGACCGGGCTACATGCGTAAAACTTCCGATGGCCTGATATGAGTAAATCATACGATATTCCAAATCATTACATCATTCTCCAATACTACATCTTTGTTAAACTATTGGATATCAAATTAATTTTGTGGCTCATTAAGACCCAAGTGTAAAGAATCCTTTTTCTATTTGATGGCGATTGTTGCGAATCATTAAGGAGGCAGAAAAATCAAGGGTCATCGACAGTAATGTTTTTGGATTTTTGAAAATCGAAAACCCGTATTTTGACGATCCTACTTACACTCGCACCTTTTTTATCGATACTACTTACATTCGCACCTTTTTTATCTTTTGGGGTGTTTTTTTCGCGTCTCTCAAGCATATTCTAAAACGCCAAGATCTCAAATCGGAAATTGGCACCAAAAGGCACGCAGGAAAGTATACGTACAAACTCTTCTCAGATTGAAAAGGAACTATATTGTGGACAATACGACGGGCCACCACTGCACGTTCAATGCGTCGCATAACGTATTATTAATCTTCCTTGGCCTTCCTTCTATTTATCTGGAGAAGATTTCATGATTTGTCATATTCATGATACATATGATTGTGTGTCACCAACTCGACGTTCCTGCATCGGCATTTTCCGTACTCGCTAAAACTTTCTTCCAGAAAAATCCATACACGGTAGTGCGCATCTTTCCATTTCCATTATTAATTTGTGATTTTACGGAGATACCATACTTACATGGGTAAATCTTCAGCTTTCGGGACCGAAAAGGAAAAAATTGGTTTATTCAACATTGATTGGGTAATCACGATTTGATGTAATGAAAAATCATATACTGTACCGTAGACGATATACAAAATATATTTTTATGAATTTTTGAACTTTTAAAAATTATGTGATTGATAATTCTTATTGTCTCTGCGTACAAACTCTTGAAAAATTAAACATCAATAATCTAAGGTATATTCATCAGGCTACAAACTCTACATTCAAATGTTTGGTGTGATCCAATTATATAAACAAGAAAGCCTAAAAGAAACCTCCGAAATTTCTTGAAAATACGATTAAATATGTGCGGCAAAATTTATTGTCGGTGTTAAACGATGAATTGTTGATATCTTGAGGATTAGTTCGTTCTAATGACAATTTATGTCTCTTCTTGACGATACAATGACAACTTTTCATATCCGTGGTTTGCGTAAAACGCTGTGTTGATCACTTGGCAACCTCTAATAGTACTGCATATCGTATCGTATATTATATATGCGTTTTCGCAAAACTCAAATGTGTAATCTATTAACTTCGATATAAACAATTTAAGAAGTGAAAAAATTTAAAATATCCAAATTGTAGCCGCGAATTTGATAGCAGAAACTGTAATGACGTGTGAAGGAATTTTTACTTTAAAATCAAATGTATTGTGACACAAGAACACTTGTTTCAATGCATTATCTCGTGCACATTGCTATTGTTGATTATCGAGTCCATCGCGTATCGCTAGGGTAAACTTCCTTCTTCTGCACCTGAAGACGTGTTTTCTAGTTGTTTTCTATCTAAGCATAATTAATTGTTTTTACTAGTGAAAATTTTTAAACCTTTATTATCAATTTAAACATGTCATTTAAAACATTAATGATAACTTTACCAAAATATCTACTGTACTTATATAATTGAATTGAATTAAAATTTTCAACATGTCATTATTATTATTATTATTATTATTATTTCATTTTTTTTTAATTGAAAGTCTTTGCCATTATCTTAAACTTTATCTTAAAACAAAAAGTACTTAATAAATAAAAAAATACTTTATATTTAAAATTAAATTAATTATAAGATTGTTGTTTGTTTGTTTGTTTTTTCAGGTAAAAGGAACTCACGGCACATGCAACTTTATTAAGTTATTTATATCCAATTACACAACTACAAAGTCCATTGAAATTAATCTGCTCCCTTTACCTATATAACCTTATCAATCACACAAGCTTGCTATTGTTGAGATGGGCTTATATATTTGAGTGAAATCTTTAAAAAAGATAATATTTGTTTTATACAAGATTAAAAAATCAAAAAAAAAATCATTTTATTTTTAATTTATAATTTTTATTAATGGAATAAGAATATATTACATAATTGATATTTAAATTTTAAGATATATTTTACAAAAAGAAGAATAAAAGAAATCATTTATTCTTAAAAAACTAATATCTTCTTAATAATTCATTCTATTATAAAAAATATTGATAGGTTATTAAGAATGATTTTAATAATAATAATAATATTCTTTAAAAAAGTATCTAATATTATATATATACTTTTTCTTCAATTATATATATTTTTTAATTATATTTTTGTTTTTAAAAATTCATATTTCATAATAGATTAAAAATAATAATTAAAATCAATTGAAAAGATCATATAATAAAATAAATTTATTTTTTCAAATATATGTCATTTAATAAAAATATAATTATTATTTAAAAAAAAAACATAATATAATTTATTAAAAAAACAATAAAAATCATAATAAAATTAGTTGTAATAAATTTTTTATATTATTATTATTATTATTATTATATTTGATAAAAAAAATTAAATAAATAATAAAATATAAAATTATATTGTGTATGTTTGATATTGTGTTGAAGTAAATGATTTTGTGTTTTTTTTTATAGTTGACTAGAAGTAAAATAAAGATATTTTGTTTAATTTTAGATATGTAATAAAGAAATTGTAATTTTTGGATTTGTTAAAAAGAATTATAATTACAATTATATATAATAGAAAAAGAAAAGAGTCGTGATTAAATTTAATTATAAATGATTTTAATGTTGAATAAGATTCTAAGTAATAGTTATTATATTGAATTAATATTTATATATTAGAAAAACTTCAAGTAAAAAATTATTATATTA